GGAAATCTAATTTATAAAGTTTGCCTATTGTGATATAACATAAGGGCGAATAATCATTAAATCATTTACATTAAGACAGGTGTAACTGTTGGTTACCCAAGCTTTCCCCCTAAATTCGTGGCATGGACTGTGATTAATGGAGGTTTTTTATTTTTTAAAGGAAGCACATGAAAAAAAAAATCAAGCTCTGATTCATCTTTAGGTGAACAACATACCCCATATATAGGAGCAGGTTGTCTGGGTAGTATGCTTAGGATACCTTATGGCAACATCTTCTGGGAAAAGATTACTTCTCTTGGAGTAGAGAAATGCTCTATGAAGTGATGGAATGTGGAAGCAGCCCCAAATCTGACCAACCTCAGCTTCTTTTATTTCCCTCTCAGGAAGACAGGATTAAAACAAACAAACAGCAAACCTTTCAGGCCGCTTACTGGATCAGTTGTCTGACATGTTTTCATCTGCAGGCATTTTTAGAAAACCTGAGAAAGATTATTTAGATTAGCTTCTTTGTCTCTTTGACTCCTAGTTAGAGAAAAATCCCAATCAGTGACCACAGCTTTCAAGAGTCCTAAAGTGAAACTCAAAACATGTATGCGAATTTTCTCCCTCTGTTCACTCCTTAGCTCATGTCCTATTCAGAGAGGCAATTGTCTTTAGTAATCTATGCTTTGGGGTTCTCAATGAAACTCATTCTTCTCCTTGAAAAGCCCTTAAAATTAATACTAGGACATGTTTTTATAATTCACATCTGTAAATGCATTAAGTTTACCTGAAACTCACACCTACACAGCCAAATTGGACATCACATTACAAAAATATGGTTGGATTTTTCTTACAGTATTTTGATCCACTTTCTTCTGTCCTTAGAAAGGACTATAAGAATGACATAGTCTTCTTGCCTTAACTCCACAGCCTTAAAAATATCCACTGATTTGTGTCAGCCAAAACTGAAGAACAACTTAACACTTTTTCATATATATATATGAATAAATTTGTTCTTTATTCTTCATATAAGTGAGAAACTCGCTTTTCCTCCAAACTCTATTGATGGCTGATATATTACTATGGAGAGAAGCAATCCCCTAGCTAGGTTAAATTAAAACTGGAACTGAAAATCAAAGGAAGGAATGCATAGCAAGAAAATCTGTAAATCACTTTTCTGCAAATGAACTACCTGCTGTTTTCTACTCACAGAAAATTGACACTATGTAAAGATACGTTGTAATCTACAAAGGAAAACAAAACAAAATCTATATACACACAGAATGATCAGAAATCCACGAACGTGTCTCAGTCGAAGCAAGAACTGGTGGCAAACAGAGGTTTGGGGAAAGAGTTTATTTTCCAAATAACATGTTAATCTTCATAATCAGATACACTATGGCCTTTGTATAACTATTTTGAAAACTGATCATCCCACATGATAGCTGTATTTCAGCGGCATTAATTGGTAGGGGGAAAATGATATATTTCTCTGCAACTTGGGTATATCAAACTTGAGGAGGAGTAACAACTCATTTTAGTAATAATGGAAGATTTTGGTTCAAAAGTTTATCCATTCATGAGGAACAGTGCTAAATTCACAGGGCTTTCATTTGTGCAAAGAGACAAAAGGTGACACACTGTACCTTCTTTAACAAATTTATTCCTCAAAAATATCTGGTAAACAAGGAATTTTTTCCCATTGTTGAGTGATATTTTGAGTTGCTCAAGAGGAAAAACTGTTATGCTCAAGTGAACCAACTTAAAACTCCAGGCTGACTCCTTCTTTCAAGAAACTAAGGAATCTATGGAACAATAAAGCATAATTATGACTTCCATTTCAGTGAGAGCTACTCTTGTCTTCACCTTGTTAAAAGGTTAATTTCTTCCCAATTGCATAGAAAAATAAATAACCGCCATGTAGGCATTTAAAAAGTACCCATGTTTTCCTATGATTGACTTACATCTTCTATCAATTCTATCTAAATTACTCAATTAAAAATAATTATTAAGAAAATAAATGACTTCATCAACATGTTCCAAAATAAAATATGGACAAGAAGAAAAAAATCAGCTAATCAACACAAAATTTGATATAATTATTGAAAATGTTTTTTTTACAATTTACTTTAATAGACTTGATTACTACTTTTTTAACTGAAGTTGAAGAGATTTGGGATACAAAGGCTTCTATAACAATAAAAGCTATTGAATCAAAGAAAACTTCTTTTCCTAATATGTCTTTTTATGTTGCCAGTATAAAGTGCTTACCTTAAATAAAAGATTTGCCTAGTTTTTTAATACAAATACTAGTAAAGAAGCACCTCCAAGGCTGAACCACTCATTTCACTTTAGTTAACAAAATTATGTAACTTGCTTTTATTCTTAATTTGGTATTATCATTTAAACTACTCGTTACATATTATCCTCATTTTGTCTCTTTATTCAGGAAATAGTCCCGGTAACAACTCATTATCCTGGATGGCTATGGTAGCAATGCTATTTTTGTTTGTTCTAGAAGGCATAGATTCATTGTCACTATTCAAGTTTCTTATCCTACAACCCACAGATTGCTAGGAAATCCAAAGACTTCTAGAATGATATGCAAATTTTCATGTATATGTGCCCATTGTGATTTTTCTGGCAGCAATCCATTTATTTTTTGCTACCTAGCATTAATGCAGCCTCTTTCAGTTAATAGTACCCTATTTCCTTCTGGGATACAAACCCAGTGCCTAGTCCATGGAAAATTACAAAAGTGATTCTGCTCTCTGCTCCAAGAGAGGGGCACAAGATTATTCAGTGATCTAATCAGAACAAATTAGTACAAAGACACTTTTTATAGGGCTTCTGAGAAAGGCATCTTCTCTTTTCCAGCTTGACCTGAAGCCTGAGAGGATGTTACAGCTGAAGCGATGCCCCTGCCACCATCTTACTACCAAATGAAGTCAGAAACGGAGACTGTATTAGTGGACTCTGAGAGATGGAGAGAAACTGAATTCTGTTTACATTATTTTAATTCAGAAGTTAGCTCTGTGCCTGAATTTTTCATATGTTAGTAAAGCACATGCACACACTTTCATACTATCCTAATTCCATAATATTTGCATAGCTGACTCCTTCTTCAGTGTAACTATTACTGGCTTTCTTTGACCTTTCCTATCAAATGTAAATTCCCCCTCTACTCTGTGCTCTTGACTGCCGTCCATCCTAGCTGTCTTTAATCTGATTACATATTATCAAAATCATATGCCATATGCTGTTCATTAATTTGGTACAGAGGAATTTTGTCAGTTTTCCAGTCCTTTTCAATCAAATTTACACAATGCAGGATTATTTTCTAGTGGAGAAAAAGACAGAGAGAAAGGAAAGGGGTAGGGGAAGGAAAAAAGAAAAAGAAGAAGAAGAAAAATAGGCTTTAAAAATGGAGAGTTCAAATAGACAGTCATGTAGTAAGTTTCATTCAATGGTGAAACAAATTGAGATTTTGTTTAGACACATATAAGAAAATCAATTTTGCTTAAATATATTTAGCAGATATTAGCAGGAAATAATTTTTATGCATTCTGATCTCAATTGCAACCAGACTTAGCTGACATAATAACGGGGTCCCTAAAAGTAACTGCTGAGGTTTAGAAGAACTTGCCACTTCCTATGAGCTGGCTCTATAAATGCCAAGAGTGAGTATCTTAAATTAAATGAATAGATTAATAAACATCTTTGGAATATCCATCATTAAGGCTGATTTATGTTCTGTTGCCAGCAATAATTCAAAGAAATGCCACGCTATTCAAAAAAATATTGCATGTTGTTCTACCACTTTGCCAATGTTATGACACCATGTAAGTATGACAATATCTATATTCTTCTCAGTACTAACTATATACAAAAGCCAATAGATATTAAACCACTTTAAGTTTACATGGGCATCAGCACGGGAACCACTCATATTTATAACTCTGATGAATGGCCTTTCATTTGTAAATTTATGGTGTATCCATAATTTCTTAGGAAACCAAGAGGTTCATTCAAAAAATTGCCACAACATTTATCTATGCAAAGATGATGGATATAGCTTATGTAATTAAGTGCTTTTAAAAATTAAAATCATATTGCCAAGAAAAGAGACATGTTCTTTCCTGGTTTCCTCACATTTTAAAAATGATCAGAACTGCACTCTCAGCAGTTATGATGTTTAATCTAAATAGTGTATTAAAACTTATTAAATATATCCAAAATCATCCTTGTTAGAGCTGTGTAGCATTTTCTTGAACTACTAGAAATTAAGTTCAACTTATATTTCTTATCTTTTTTTCTAATTCTATCCCCCTACAATAAGCTATAAAATATAGAAAGCAGCATTAGAATATAATAGTTTTTCTTTTTATTTACTGCATTTACTATATTTAGTCCTTCAAGACTATTCACGGCAACCTGCATGGTTTACTGTAAGAAGAAACTATTATAAATTTTATTATGACTCAAAATATACATTGTGGCAAAAATCAACATTAATTAAGAAAGGAAAGACATATTTTATCCCAGTATGGACTTAGCTCAATTGGAGGAACTGATGAAGTAGGAGAAGATGAAAAGATAGTAATTATGAATAAAGTAACCAATAAAAAGCAGAATAGTCAATGTTATATGTGTGAGGAAGAAATGCACATTGTTGCTAATGTGTGATGTGCTTTGGTGGCATTTCTAGTCTACTTTCATTTGCCTTCAAGTACACACAAATGTAGGAAGTACAGACAAGTCTCAGTGGCTTTTTAAAATTTAATCTGCCCTATTACTACAGAATCTACAAAAATTGAACCTGTTTTTAATGGATTTGGTTATATGAGCAACAATCTCCAACTTACCAACTTTTTTAGCATTAGTACATTCAGTAAAAGGAAAAATTGTGCCAAATACTTGCAAAATTTATTTGCCAAATACTTTTTACATATTAGCTCTCTACACAATACTTAACATAAACATCATATTAAAAATAACAAAATAAGCATTGTACATACCCCAGTAGGTCGCTAACTCCTCGTGAGCAGGAACATATTTTTCATCATCTTTGGGTCACCGATGGCCAGCACGGCACCTGGGATAAAACACACACCCCATAAATGAGTTTCAATTCATTAAATGGTACAGTGCTGATTGGATTCCATTCGGAAGGTATGAATTCAATGAAGTAACCATCCATATATCAACCTTCTTCCTCTATATCCTACATTATTAAACGAGCACTGCACAGTCTTATAAATCTAAATGACAATTTTATTCTAAAAACTCAGTTCTTGAGAATGATTACTTCTAAATGGTCATTATGTTACATATCATTATACTCTTTCAGTTTTGGTGGAAGCAACGCAGCGAAGTGTCTGAGATGTCCTTTGGAGTTAGGCCAACAGAGGTACAAACGCTGGTTCCACCACACTATGTATACAGTGTTGGATAAAATTACTTAATCTTGCTAAATCCAGCTGTCTGTAAACTAAGGGTAACTGTAGTCTCTTTCTAATAATGTTGTTCAAAGGCTTAAAGGAAACAATGCGTAGCATGCTGTCTGACACACAGTATACTGTCTTCATCTTCCCCCGTCCCTCCTCATTAGTGGAGGGAAGAATGAACCTTGGCCAAAGAGATGGGCATTTGCCTTCAGCTATGAGAATGTGATCTCCTGAACTCAAAATGTCATAGGAGTGTGTTTGTTTGGCTGAAGGCTTTGGCCACTGAACAGTCTAACAATGCGATTTACAATGGGTGGTTTCGGCCAAGCAGTATCAATTTTGCCTCTCAGAGGGACCAGAAACTAAAACTATCAGCCCAACACCAACATTCAAAAGGGGTTGGAGACTAAAGGTCAGCCATGTAAGGGACAGTATATAGTCAAGTCCCAGTAAAAACTCCAGACACCAAAGGCTCAAGTGAGCTCCCCTGGTTGGCAATGCTCTGTGTCACACATCGATGCCAGGAAAGTGACATATCCTGACTCCATGGCGAGGACAACAGAAGCTCTGTCTCTGATAATTCCCCAGACTCTACCTTACATATTTCTTCTCTTTTCTGATTTTAATCTGTATCCTTTCTTAAACCATAACTGTGAGTATAACAGCTTTCAATGCGTTCTGAGTCTTTCAAGCCACTTGCTGAAGCCAAGGATGGTTTTGGGAACCCCCTAAACCTGCAATTGATGTCACAAGTGGGGATTATACTGTGTAGAGAACTGGCTTCCTCTAATCTTGACACTAACTGTAGAGTTAGTTAAACTTGCCCACGTTCCTTCTTTTAATCTAGAAAGTCCAAAAAGCTTTGAAAGTTAGCTTACTTCACCACTCAAGTGAACTGATTAACAAAGACCTCACTGTTAAAATTCACTTTGACTTGATATTTACATATAAATTACATCCCATTGCTTATTTTTTTCTCACACAAACAGTAAAAACCATTCCTTCCCTATTCCCAATAATAGATAAAGAAATTGTTTTGGGGTTTTTGTTTTGTTTTGGTACTGTGAACGGTAGTAACATTTAGAAACAAATGAATCACACAAGTGAAATTTCTAAAGATTATTAATAATAGATCTGTCAAGGTCAGATGTTAGAAAATAAACTTCATTAAAAGATGCACTGGTTTTGGCCAGGCACGATGGCTCATGCCTGTAATCCCGGCACTTTGGGAGGCCAAGATAAGTGGATCGCTTGATGCTGGGAGTGCGAGACCAGCCTGGCCAACATGGTGAAAACCTGTCTCTACTAAAAATACGAAAATTAGCCAGGCGTGGGGGCATGCGCCTGTAATCCCAGCTACTCGGGAGGCTGAGGTGGGAGAATCATTTGAACTCAGGAGGCAGAGGTTTCAGTGAGGCGAGATCATGCCATTGTACTCCAGCCTGGATGACAGAGCAAGATTCTGTCAAAAGACAACAACAACAAAATGACTGGTTTTCTAACAAAATATTAGTTAAATCACATATTCCTTGTGCTTCTCCTAAGTGGTTTGGTTGTTCCCTGCAAGAGATTGCTTACAGCCTTGTTAATTTTTTTTAAACAAGTAACAATTTGGTAGACAGAATAGTAAGACCATCCCAAAGATCCTACTGAAATGTTGAATATGCTCAGCATACTGCCTAGGAATGTGATTATAATGGATTTTATTCCGTGAACAGGTTATATAACACAGGTGATTTTGAGTCAGATTATCTGCATGACCCTTACCTAATCAATTGCATCTGTCTTTTACATTTTAGTCTAGAAATCAAAGAGAAGTCAAAGAGAAGATGGAGATCTGAAGCACGAGAAGGATGTGGCACACCACTGATGTCTTCAGAATACAAAGTACACACGGCAAGGAATAGAGCAGCCTTTAGGGCCTATGGACAAGCCATAGCTAACAGCCAGCAAGGAAGCAAGAACTTTAGTCCTAAAAACACAAAGAGCTGAATTCTGCCAAAAACAAGTATAAGTTCGGGAAACAGATTTTTCCACCCCAGGGCCACAGACAAAACCTCAGCCTGGACAACCTTGATTTTAGCCTCATGATACTCTGAACAGAAAACCCAGCCAGGCTGTGTTGGATTTCTAAGCTTCGGAACTGTGAGCCAATATATGGGCACTGTTTTAAGCCACTAAATTTGTGACAATGTGTTATACAGGATCACAAGCTTCTGCAAGTCTTATATTAACTTCTCTTTAGTCTTTCACCCTGAAAACAGGAGTCAGTTATGGGCTACATTTCCTTAACCATATAGACCCCAGATTGCTATTCCTGAAACAAGACAATTCTTACAAAACAAGGTACTAAGTTGTATGTAAAGAGATCACTTGTGCCAGGCGTGGTGGCTCACGCCTGCAATCTCAACACTTCAGGAGGCCAAGGCGGGCGGATCACCTGAGATCAGGAGTTCGAGACCATCCTGGCCAACAAGGTGAAACCTCGTCTCTACTAAAAATATGGAAATTAGTTGGGCATGGTGGCACACACCTATAGTCCCAGCTACTCATGAGGCTGAGGCAGGAGAATCACTTGAACCCAGGAGGTGGAAGTTTCAGTGAGCCGAGATCGTGCCACTGCACTCTAGCTTGGGTGACAGAGTGAGACTCTGTCTTAAAAAAAAAAAAGAAAAGAAAAGAAAAGAAAAGAAAAAAAGAGAGATCATTTGGAAAAGTCAACTGCCTACCTCCTGTGAGAAATGAACTCAAATACACAGTAAATTATATCCAACTTTTCTTAGGTCTTTCTAAAGTAAGTGGTAGTTGCTGCTTCTTTTTTCATATTATTATACTTTAAGTTCTGGGGTACATGTGCTGAATGTGCACGTTTGTTTCATAGGTATACACGCACCATGGTGGTTTGCTGCACCCATCAACCCGTCATCTACATTAGGTATTTCTCCTAATGCTATCTCTCCCCCACCCCTCCGACCCCCTGACAGGCCCGAGTGTGTGATGCCTCCTACCCCTGTGTCCATGTGTTCTCATTGTTCAACTCCCACCTATGAGTGAGAATATGTGGTGTTTGGTTTTCTGTTCCTGTGTTAGTTTGCTGAGAATGATGGTTTCCAGCTTCATCCATGTCCCTGCAAAGGACATGAACTCATCCTTTTTTATGAGTTCATAAAATACTATTCCATAGTATTCCATGGTGTATATGTGCCACATTTTCTTTATGCAGTCTATCACTGATGGGCATTTGGGTTGGTTCCAAGTCTTTGCTATTGTGAACAGTGCCACAATAAACATATATGTGCATGTCTCGTTATAGTAGAATGATGTATAATCCTTTGGGTATGTACCCAGTAATGGGATTGCTGGTCAAATGGTATTTCTAGTTCTAGATCCTTCAGGAATCACCACACTGTCTTCCACAATAGCTGAACTAATTTACACTCCCACCAACAGTGTAAAAGCGTTCCTATTTCTCCACATCCTCTCCAGCATCTGTTGTTTCCTGACTTTTTAATTGCTGCTTCTTTAAACAGACTTGGGGATGGGTGCAGTGGCTCATGCCTGTAATTCCAGTACTTTGGGAGGCCAAGGCGGGTCACCCGAGCTCAGGAGTTCAAGACCAGCCTGGGAAAAATGGCAAAACCGCATCTCTACATATATATATATATGCTGGCTGTGGCGGTGCAGGCCTGTGGTCCCAGCTACTTGGGAAGTTAAGGTGGGAGGATGGTGTGAGCTTGGTGAGCTGAGAATGCACCACTGCACTCCAACCTGGGTGACAGACCTAAGACCCAGTGTCAAGAGGAAGAAAAAAACAGACTTGGTAAACGATCGTATGTCCAGTGCAAAGTCTAAGTATTTGGAGTGTGGGGATCATTGAAAAGGAATCTCTTCCAGTAGTTGTTCTAGAATATGTTTAGAATATGTTCCTACAGTTGTTCCCTATCTCATTCTCTTTCTATTCACTTACTACAGCACTATCATATTTTTTATAAAACACCAATTTTACCGTGTTGTGTCCCTGCTCAAAATGACCAACTTAAATGACCTTCAAGATAAAGTCATTCATTCATTTATACAATATTTCAATGTGTACGATATGCTAAATTCTGTGTTAGGTGAATTTAGCATTCTTTAAAGAAACTTAGTTTTCTTAAACATATGCAAGGTATAACAGGCAAATGGGTTGAAGTTGCATCTATATCACCACAATAAATATATTCTTATTTTAAAATTGATATTTTTTTTGGTTGACAAATCATAATTATATTACATTTATAAAGTAGAATGTTATATTTTGACATATGCATATGGGTGTATAGATATGCACACATACACAGATATCAAAATGGATATATATAGATATCTATATATAAGTACATATAGATACAGATTCTTAAACTATGACTAAAGGAATATTGAAATTATTTGTTTATAAAATTAAGGTGACTGCCACTTGTAACAGATATGTTACTGTCTGAAATATTTCCAGATGCAGTTCCATATCATGTAAGTCTTATTCTTGTTGTCCCTAGATTAATGGCCTTTATCCTTCCAAGAAGAGGTCGGCCACCATCTAGAACAAAAGGGCCACTAATCAGCTTTGAGTTTCAGAGCTAACTTTGGAAAATCTTAGATAACAAACTCGAAC